TACAACTACCTGAAAGGAAGTTGTAGTGGGGTGGGGGCTGGTCTCTTCTCCCTAACAAGCGATAGGACAAGGGGAAATGGCCTTAAGCTGCACCAGGGGAGATTCAGGCTGGATATTAGGAAGAATTTCTTTACTGAAAATGTTGTCAGGCATTTGAACAGGCTGCCCAGGGAGGTGGTGGAGTCACCATCCCTGCAGGCGTTTAAGAGACGGGTAGATGTTGTACTTAGGGACATGGTTTAGTGGTGTTGATAGAGCTAGGACAAAAGGTTGGACTCAATGATTTGAACTTCTCTTCCGACTGAAACTATGGTTCTATGAGATAGGGCATCTTGCCGAATGCAAATTGCTAAGTAGAAGTAACAGAAGTTTGGCTTGGTGGTTTTGTTGTTTTGTTTTTTTTTTTCTTAGTCAGAACTGTGGAAGTGGATATTTCTCTAGAATTATTGCTATTTTATATGTTTGTTAATAAGGACTTTAAGTGCATGAATACATAAGCATTCAAACAAAAATCTGTAATGTGGGTGAACTAGATAAAGAGTTACAAGAACTTCAATGCTTCTGTTACAGGTGGAAAAAGTTCTGTATTAACTGCTCTTATTGTTGGACTTGGTGGAAAAGCCACTGCAACTAATAGAGGTTCCTCATTAAAGATGTTTGTACGAGATGGAGAGACGTAAGTAAAACTTTTTTAGTTTTAAGGTTGAACATGTTGTTCAGTGATTGTGATTTAGGATCAGTTTTCTGTTCATCTTTGTTTTCTCTGTTCTGTTATCGAATCTACCGGATTCAAATAAAAAGCATAACACTGAAGAGATCATGTTTAAACAAAAAACCCCAAAACTACAAACAAAAACCATGTTAGAAATTTTACCAGTAATTTACTGGTAGGATACCATTCTCTGAAGTAGCTAACATAGTGGTATGTCCTGCATATTGCTCAGTTCTTATGTGTTACTTCCATGATGTACTTGTATATCCTACAGAAGAATTGAGTTCATTAGAAAAAATTCATAGGAAACTAGTTGTTGTTGTTCTGTGAGCAGTGAGGTTAATTCCTTTTCTGTCTTTCTGGTGACGTGACTGAATACACAATATAAAGACCTTGACATACAGGTGGATTATTAATCATGAAGGAAGTGGATTCATGTCTGCTGCAAGAGTGGGGATAACACGTTTAGCGGATTCAGTAAAAAGATGGGGGAGGAGATTAAAGGGTTTACATTCACATAAAGCTATAACTCATAGCCCCAGGCTTTTCCTTTCAGAGTTGCTTGGAGTAAAATTGTTGGCAGTACCTGCCTTACGTATAACAACTTAATGCTTCAGCATTCACTTGAGAAACAGAAAATCTGAATTCAGAAGTGAAACCACTTCTCATCTTTTCTAGGAGAATGCCTTAAGCGTTCTGCTGTTGGTTAGGGGTGGCTCTAGAAGCTAAGCAACTGTTTGCTACAGAAGCCAGTTTGGGGACAGGAGAACAACCAAAAAGCAACTTGATTCTGCAGCCTAAAGATAGGGGCACTCAGATGGGAAGGGAAGGTGGGGGAAATCTCCTGTCACAGCTATTTGCTTTTGGCTCGTGGCTTATCTGAAGCACAGAAGGTGCAAACAGGTCAGTGTATGGCAGCTTTTCTGGCCACGTGTCTCCAATGCTGTTTTGGCTGAAACAACATAAATGTACCTTGTTCCAATTGGTACTGTGACTGACTTCCAACTGTAACCTGTGCAAGACATGGCAATTTTTGTGGAAAATTAGAATGTTCTGATTTTTTTTTTTTTTTTTTAGATTTGGAAGTAATTTTAATTGTCTCTTTTATTTTTTAGTTCTGCAGATATTTCCATAACATTGCGAAACCAAGGTCGAGATGCATTTAAACCAGAAGTGTATGGTAGCTCTATTATTGTGAGTCAGCGCATTAATCTGGACGGAAGCAGAAGTTACAGACTGAAAAGCAAATCTGGTTGGTGTTAGTTTGTTTTGTTCTCAGTCTTAGAAGCTCTTTAAATATTTGCTTTAAATGCCTTGGTATTAGTACAAGATGATGTTTCTCATGTCATTCATCATTCAAGGATGATGTTGTCTATGTTTTGTATTTACCTTGCCTAAATATTTTAGTGTGTCGAAAGCAATTGTGTCAGGTTCTGCCTGGTGTGGGGTCATACAGTATTAGTCTTTATGAAAATCTGCTTGCGTGATGAGGCTGAACATAGATTTTAGTCATCTTGAGTTTTGTTGTATTTGTCACAGAGAGTTTATGAGGCAAGGAGGGACTTTAATTAGAAGGCTTTCTGTACAAATGCAAAGATATTAGAAAGATTAAAATACCCAGCCAACCGGTGTTTCTCGTTTAGGGCTAAATCGGTGTTACAAAAATACTAATCTCATTTTTTACATTTACTAGGAACCACTAGATTGAACAAGAAGCTAGGATGTTGTATGTCTCTTTACTTTGGACCTATTGGTATTTTTCCTTTTGTTTTTTTTCCGTTAGGGACCTTAATTTCTTCAAAAAAAGAGGAACTCGTAGGAATACTGGATCATTTTAATATACAGGTAATTGTTGTGTTTAAATTCTGTGCAATTTAAGACATTGGCATGTGATGTTATAATTCTTTGACTAAAAAGCAGTGTTCCATTTCGTTAAATGAGAGGTTCACCTTTTCTGTGTTCTTTCAAGATCAAATGCAACAGCAAAAGAAAATTGAAATTTATACCTCATACAATGCAGAGTAAGATTCTGTCCCAGACAGATAAGAATTTGCTATCGTCTGCGAGCTACGAGTCATATATCCTGTTAAGGAAAGTCTTAGCATATGTAGTTTTCTTTCATACCTGGAGCTTTTTGTTTTCTGCTCATTATTTCAGTTTCTGCGGTTGCAGAAATTTGTGTGTGGTTTTGCTGCTTAACTGATTAAGGAAAGATCAGGTAGTGCGCATGAAGTTTCAAATATTTGACGTATTTAGCCTTTCAAATAATATAAACTTTTGTTAGTATGTATTGGTTTTATTTTGTGGAAACTTCCCTAAGAATATATAGGGCAATTAATTGCATTTAATGTAATACTTTGATCAATTAAATAATGAGAAATTAAACAGCATTGGACAAAACTTCTAATGCTGATCTTGTTAAATAAATGATAAAAACAGACACTGTCTTTTTACAAGTCACTTATTCTGGGAACAGTTCCTTAGTTGTCCTTGTTGTGGTTCTAGTTTGTACTTGATGGAGTTGTTTTTTTTTATTTTTTTGTTGGTTTGTTGTTGGGTTTTTCTTGTTGTTTAAAAGAAAAAGGGATGAGAAGGGTAGAAATCTTAATTTCTGGGTCTGCTTCTCAGCTTATTAGTGAGTTGCTGGGCATGGAACAGGGAGATGGTTTGCTCACTTTCGTGGATATGCAGTTACATGAGCAGATTTTTACTTAAAATGAAAAGAAAGTAATTTATTTTTACAGGTAGATAATCCTGTGTCTGTTTTAACCCAAGAAATGAGTAAGCACTTTTTACAGTCTAAAAATGAAGGTGACAAGTACAAGGTAAGAAAAATCTTTTAACGTTTTGATTAAACATAAAAATACTCATTTCAAATTTTCAGAGGCGGCATTTGGAGGGAAAAATATTTCAGAATTTTTAATTTTAATGACCTGTTTGTAGAATCATAGAATCATTAAGGGTGGAAAAGACCTCTAAGATCATCAGGTCCAACTGTTGACCTAATACCACCATGCCCACTAAACCATGTCCCAAAGTGCCACATCTACACGTTTTTTGAACCCCTCCAGGGATGATGACTCCACCGCTTCCCTGGGCAGCCTGTGCCAATGTTTGACCACTCTTTCGGTAAAGAAATTTTTCCTAATGTCCAATCTAAACCTTCCCTGGCGCAACCTGAGGCCATTTCCTCTTGTCCTATCACTTGTTACTCGGGAGAAGAGCCCAACACCCACCTCACTGCAACCTCCTATCAGGCACTTGTAGAGAGCGATAAGGTCTCC